TATTTTGTCCTTTTAAATAATACCAAACCTTCATTTTGAGCCAATTTTAAATTTGTTTCTTCAAAGCACATGTTTATTTAGAATTACAGTGTTAGCCAGATATTCTTTCCTTCATAGGTGAATACTCTAGAGCAGAAATTATTATCAGTTATTCGACATAAATGGGAATGGCGATGTCGGATAAGTAGAATTATAAAAAAATCTGTGGCGGCAATTAAGTGGAAAAAGTGGGGGAGCAAAAAATTTATTGACACCTTAAAGTACCCAGGAGTACTTGCAAGCTTTCCTGAACATTTTTATACAATTCCTAGTTTTTGGCAGCTATTAATATAATAAAAAAAAATATTTATTATTTTTAGTATTATTATATAACATTAATAATAGCTAAAATAATATTTTCCAGGGAAATGTGTGGGGAGAGGTTGTCCCCGATTAACCACCACTGTAAAAAAATTATTAGTATAGAATGATTTTTTATAAAAAAAAAAAAGAAATTCGTATCTCTAACTTCGATAATGATTGGGCATGCATGATAATGCTCTGGGCTTGGTTGTATTCCGTGTGTGTAAGGATTTTTACTTCAGAACAGAAAGAATGCTAGCCTAAAAATATCGCCATGCAAAAAGCATTCTCGATTTGAATGGTTCGAAGGGATTTTTAGCAACACAGGTTAGGGGCCGTCCACAAATGATGTCACGCTTGGAGGGGGTAACAAGAAGTGTGACATCACACATTTTGGTTAAAATAAAAACATTTAAAATCAGCAGATTAAATTTTGAAATTACCAGAATTTGGGGGTATTTTTTAATCGGGGCTAAAACAACTTTCGTGTGATCTTTTTCTCTCTTACATTCCTTTCTTCGAAAAATTCATTCAGGATAGGTTCTGAGAATACGTTAGCAGCAAAAATTCTTCACCAATAGAAGAAAACCTTCCCCTGTCACACCCTTGAAATGTCCAACAAAAGATACTTCGCCCCATCTGGGTGAGTCGTAGAACTGGTAGTGGCACAAACAGGTCGATCTAATTGAGGCGTTTTTTTAATTCAATCTGTTTAAGAGTATTTTGTGTTCATAAAGTAAAGATAAGATTTAAAGCAAAATATATCAAATTCCAAAATACTACTGTTTTCAATTGTTCTTTTATATTAATATTTTATTACTATTGTATAATAATTAAGTTTTTTGTTGTAAACCTTAATTTTATTTCAAACAAAATAAGTACACTTATAATCATTATTATTGTTATGCTCACAAATGTCATTAAAACACGTAGTTAAAATTTAAAAATAAAATTTGATATATATGATCTATAACGTACTGCTTTGTTTCTGAACTGCAAGTTTATGTACTCTAGCGTGACAAGGGGGGGGGGGGCAGGGGGTATGGTAAAGTGTGACAAAGGGGGGGAGGGGTCAAAAATATTGAAAAAAGTGTGACATCATTTATGGACAGCCCCTTATCCCCAAAGCAGGAATAATGTCCTACGAAAAGTAACTTCACCTTCTGCACAAACAGAAACCCTAAACAAGATTTACTTCAACTTCTCGCGTTTTTCTGTGAACAGTGTCATCTGAGGAATTTTTTGTCCTTCAATTTTTTTCAAAGTACCAATCTCTTTTAAGATAACGATTTAAATTAAAGGATCACAGGCAAAGGAATTTTCCAGCAGCATAAGCCAGTATAAACACTCTTCAACTTGACTCGACATTGTGATGTATCGAATTCGTTCTTTTCGTAGATTCGGAACCACGGAACCGAATGCATAAAAACCAATCCCACTATAGACTCCTATGAGAAGTGTTTTCGATGCCAATATTTGGCGATATTTCTCTTTTTTGGCGAGAAATGCTTAAAAGTGTTAATATTTCGACGACGCGATAGAGATGCAATCTGTTATAAGGAAGTAAACATTTTTACTTTGTAGTTTTTTTTTGTGTGTGTGTGACTTAAAGTCGAATGAATTCCTTCTTGAATGCCATTGATGAATTCCAAATAAATTATCTATAAACGTCCATTTGATAATAAATATATAGTTTGAAAATCGTCGTAAGCATTTTAAAACACATTTGAGATATATATATTACTTTGATGAAGACTTTTATTGATAAAATTGTATTACAAGCCATGGACGTCCATTTGAAATGTTCCTGCTGGTATAGGGGATAAAAGTATTCAAATGCACCTGAAATTTTTCCGAGGGGGTTGAAAAAATCATAAAAATAGTAATTTTTAACGCTACTCTAGTGCAATGTGTCAAAATGTGACCTTCAATGTCCAGAGGGGCAAGTGCTCCTTTTGCCCCCCTCTCGGTATAGGCGCTCATGTTACAAGCGAAGCAAAAATATAAAATATGAGCTTTTAAAAAATTGCGTAGTTTATGAATAAAGCAGGGGTGATTCTACATCGAGAAATATTTTCTGAACTCCACAACAAATCTTTTGCAGATTATATAAGTTTTCTGAAAAGTACAAAAAACAAAATTTTAATTTTTTTGTAGACGGGTTGTTAATTTTTAACCCCTTTACTTTATATATATATATATTTTCAAGAATCTTTGGACAGTTTTGAATTAAATATTATAATAGATTTCCTATTGATATTCATATATTCTAGTTTTGCACACAAATGAAATTCAACAATCTTTTACACACCTACCCCTTCCCTCTTATATACATGGGTACCCATAACAAATTTTCCAGGGGGGATGAACAAAACTGTCAGTTTTCATGCTAATTTAGAGCGATCAGAGACAAAAAATGTGACCTTGGATATCCAAATGGGGGGGGGGGGGGCAAGTGCCTCTCTTTGCCCCCCTTATGGGTGCCCATGTTTATATATATATATATCATAATAATGAGAAACATGCAACTTATGAAATAGAGTACACAGAACACAGTTGGCAGCAAAATGAGGAGACAAACATAAGAAATAGGAGTGTACAATTAAATACTTTGTCAAGAAGCACATTTAATTATATACCCTAGTAGTTATCAATGTCTGTCAATTGGAATAGCATTGTGCTAAAATTATTTCAATTGGTGATATGTATGTACTATAATTTCAGAATTAAATCTGACTATAGCATTGAAATGTTTTCTCTGAGAAATTCAAAGTTTTTGAACAATTATAAAGTGCAAAATATACTTTTTGTTAAGTACTTCTAGAAAATTTCTTGGCATTATTCAATTTTAAGAATGCAGCAATTTTGGAGCAGAATCACCCCTGGAATAAATCTAAAATTAATTAGTTAAAGCTATTTTTAAGCACCAAGGATATCAGATATTTATATCTGTATATTTCTGTAATTAGAAATGAAAATATATATTTTCTGTTGCAAAATACTTAGTAATTAAAACAGTGTTTCCCAACTCTTTTTTTTTTTTTGCCATGCTCTACCTAAGCCTTCCTAAAATTCTGATGCCTCCATATAACATATACACAATTTTTTCTCCTATGTAACATATACGCAACTCCAGTTGAGCTCATTTTCAAATTGCCCCCCCTGTGGGGCATGGGACCCACATTGGAAAACAAATGAATTAAAATATATAACTTATAAATTGATAAATATGTGAATGGTAGTATATTTTTTATTTTAATGATAAAATTGATCATTCTAGCTTCCACACTTTTGATTTGTGAATAAAATAACTTAGAGAAACAAATAATACTGAATTTTCATAAGCTATGACTATGAAAAATCGAAAAACAACTGATATGTCAAAAGTAGTACCCTTCATCAGGCAAAAATTAAAAGCAGAGCAAACAGTTGAACTACCAAAGGCATATGCTTTTGAAAGCACCTTTGCTGGTTCAACTACTTGTTTTGCTTTTACTTAATTTTTAATTTCTGCTTGATGAAGGAGGATGTTTAATTTGCCTGCAAAATTAGTCACAATTAAGTTTTTGCTCTTTTAAAAAAAAGATTCGCAACTGTTATTTGTTGAGATGCAGTTTTTGTCTCAATACAAATCAATTCTTCCAAAAGTAAAAAATATCTTTTATAAATAAAAGCAATTAAGTGTGAATAGCTTACATGTGAAACAAAATAGTGTTAAATTTCTGTTGCTTACCTTCATCTGTATGCACGAGAGCATTGACATTTAGATGCAGTGTTAACAGTTATAAAAATAGTAATTTGAAATAATAATGGTGAATTATTAACAAATTTATATAATAAAATGAAGCATAAAAGATTTACAGCTTTTCTTGTTTGAAATGATTATGTATAAAAATACTTATATGTCTGCGATTGTTTTTTTACAGCATTTCTTTAGGTGTTCTCCGCTACATAACAATTCTATATACCATTTAATTGCAGGGGGCACCTAAAAGGTGGAAGACACAATACCAATTCACTCTGGAAAATATTTGCCATAACTCATCTAAAAATTATACTTTTTGCAAGATCAGTTTTCTTCTTTTGTTAAGAGTATGCGGTAATACATCTTTTGTATTCAACAACAGTACTTTCGCATCCTCATATACTTTATATTTCTTTTGTATCTACATATTTTATACAAAAAAATTTTAATTTACTGTAAAAATGCTTTTGAAAAATTACACCAGCCTAAAATTTTCCCTGAACTAGAACATTGCAGCAACATTTTGTCTTGATTTCAAAAATGTTATACAATAGTTCATATCATCTCATAATTTATCCTTTTGTTTTCCAAAAATCTTTTTAAAAAGTCCCCCACCCATGGCAGATACACCTCATGCATTTTGTCTAATAAACTCACCAACACTAAACGTTTTTCATTAGAGGAAGTGTCGACTATAATCAAAATAAAATGGAATCTATTAAAATTAA